TAATCCCAGCACTCGGGAGGCAGAGGCAGGCGGATCTCTGTGAGTTCGAGGCCAGCCTGGTCTACAAGAGCTAGTGCCAGGACAGGCTCCAAAGCTACAGAGAAAACCCTGTCTCGAAAAACTTAAAAAAAAAAAAATTAAAAAACTTGGCTTAGTGGTTGAGAGCATTTGTTGCTCTTGCAGAGAACCCAGGTTCTACTCCAGGCAACCTCTGGCAGCTGTCAACTGTCTGTAACTCCAGTTGCAGAGGATCCAACACCCTCTTCTGACCTCTGTGAGCACCAGACACACATGGTGCAGACATACATGCAGGTGAAACACAAATACATACAACAATGAATATTTCCACGAGAGATCTATCACCTTGCCATCAGTGGGCCGTAAGGCCCTTCCCAAAGTTGACTATGTATTTATTAGTCAGGGTTCTAGAGAACAGAATTTATAAGCTAGTCTAATAAATCCCTGGTGTGGGAGGTCCTTCTGTGTGTTGCTTTTATTGGTTAATGAAAGCTTTTCAATTATGTATGCTGTTTATGTTGTGTAAAAGTGCTGGAACATGCCATACTGAAGGTCAGAGGACAACTTTTTGGAATCAAACTCAGATTATCAGACTTGAGTGGCAAGCATTTTTACCCACTGAAGCATTTAGTTGGTTGGCTGGCTTTAAAAAGTGAAAACAAAATAAAAAGGTTTTTAAAAATTATATAAAGCTGGGAACATGGCTCAGTGGAAGAACACTTATTACTCTTGCAGATCTGGGTTCAGTTCATGGCACCCACGTAGCAGCTCACCACTCCAGACCTGGGGAATCTGCTGCCCTCTTCTGACCTCTCTGAGCACTGCACTTATGTGGTCCACATGCATAACGCATAAATGCAGGCAAAACACTAAAACATAAAATGAACCTTAAAAAATTAAACACTGCTGGGCAGCAGTAGTGTATGCCTTTAATTCTAACACTTGGGACTCAAAGCCAGGCAGATTTCAGTGAGCTTGAGACCATCCTGGTCTCAAGAGTAAGTTCTAAGACAGAGCCATTACACAGAGAAACCCTGTTTTTCTTTTCTTTTCTCTGAAGACCAGACTGGCCTTGAACTCAGCCTGCCTCTACACCACCGCCTTACAGCTCCATTCCCCACCCTCTTTTTTAAAACGTTTTTCTTAAAAGATAGGGTCTCACTACATAGACCAGCTGGTCTTGAACTCAGAGATCAGTCTGCCTCTTTCTTTGAATGCTGGGATCAAAAGCATGTGCCTGCCCCACACTGCTCTTTTTTCAGTTGGCCAGCAAGCTCCTGGCATCTATCCCTGTCTTCAAGCCTACAGCATATGGAACTGTGCCCACTGCTTTTCAGTGAGTGCTGAGATCTGAACTGAGGTCTGCATGCTTGTATTTTATCTGCTAAGCCATCCTTCTCCTATCTGAAGGTTGATTTTATTCTTTGCAAAATTAGGATGTATGGGGTTGGAGAAATGGCTCAGTGGTTCAGAGGACTGGCTGCTCTTCCAGAGGACCTGGGTTCAATTCTCAGTACCCACATGGCAGCTCACAGCTAACCTTAACTCTAGTTCCAATGAATCTTTCAGTCTCATGCAGACATACAGGGAGGCAAAACACCAAGGTACATAAAATAAAAATAATTTAACATTACCAACTACATGGTGGCTCACAACTATCTGTAATGAGGCCTGATACCCTCTTTTGGCCTGCAGGCATACATGCAGAAAGAATATTGTATACATAATAAATAAAGAAAAAAAATATTTGTGTGTGCGTGTATGTGCTCACAAAGCACGTGGAGCTCAGAGAACAACCTGCTGAATTATCTCCTATTAAGTGAGTTTTGAGGCTTAAACTCAGGTCACCAGGCTTTATGGCAAGTGTCTTTCCCACTGAGCCACCTACAGCCCTAGCTGTTGTAGTCTTCAACTCACGGCGGTTGTGACACCTGGACAAGACTCTCCAAGACAGGGCCCATCCTCCTCACTGTGAAGATTTATGTCAGTAACAGTTGCTGTAGGAAAGAGGAACAATTTCCTCAGTGTCCAAGTCAGTGCAGAGGCTTCTAGGAATCTGTAATCAAGTTTAAACTCACAAGACAGAAGTGCTAGTTCTAGGGAGGTAAAGGGTATTTCTAGGTTAGTTCAAGGCCAGCCTGATCTACATAAAGTTCTAGGCCAGCTAGGATTACATCCTGAGAACACCCGTACACACACACACACACACACACACACACGCTAGCTGGGAAGAGAAGAAACAGACAGTAATGGAAGGCGAATAAATAAAAATACTTTATATGCACATAAGAAAATGCTTTAGCCAGGCAGTTGTGGCGCATGCCTTTAATCCTAGCACTCAGGAGGCAGAGGAGTAAAAGGCCAGCCTGGGCTACAAGAGCTAGTTCCAGGACAGGCTCCAAAGCTACAGAGAAACCCTTAGAAAAAAAATGCTTTAATGAATCTTATTACAGATCATTAAAATATGCTAATTAAAACATCTAAAATGAGAAAATGTGAATTTTTTTAAAATAAGGTTTATTATGTATACTGTGTTCTGCCTGCATGTGTGCCTGCAGGCCAGGAGAGGGCACCAGATTTCACTATAGATGGTTGTGAACCACCATCTGGTTGCTAGGAATTGAACTCAGGACGTCTGGAAGTGAAGCTAGTGCTCTTAACCTCCAAGCCATCTCTCCAGCCCTGAAAATGTGAACTTTTTAGAAACCTTTATTACAGTTTATTTTGTGGGCATGGAGGTCACAGGGAAACTTGGAGGAGTTAGTTCTCTCATCTTACCAAATGAGTTCCAGGGCATGAACTCAGGTGTTTGGGCTTAGCCGAATGTGCCTTCTGCGGAGCAGCCTTGCCAGTCCCTAAGATGTGGATTAACATCCTCATTTAGCCAGATCTGGATTTAAGAACTACCATAAGCCAGGACAGCCAGGTTTCCAAAGAGAAATCCTGCCTCAAAAAAACAAAACCCAACCAAACAAAAGAACTACCACAATGTCAGTACATCAGATAATAGAAGAAAGAGGCAAAACACACAGCACCAGGACTGCGGGTAGTGAAGTGCAGGCACCACAGACAAACGCAAAGCAAGGATGGCCCTGCTTCTACTGACTAGTCACAGTGCAATGGACATTGGCAGACTTGCTTTCCTAATGTTAGCTTGAGATGGATTACTAGAACCTTGTCAGATTCAGCCTGTGTGTCCTAACTTGTTCCTATCCACAGAACTGTTTCCAGGGTCACTGCAGTGTGATGACATATGACTACATGTAGGCTGTGGGAGGAGAATACACTCCAGCCTTCTGCCATGCTTCCAATTGCTGCCATACACAGACAGTAAAATCTGCTCCCCTCCATACCTACCTCTTATACTGACAATATACAACATTACTAGTTAAGAGAAGCTACGTCAGTGGTGTGGTGCACACCTTTAATCCCAGCCCTTGGGAGGCAGAGTGGTCTACAAGAGCTAGTTCCAGGACAGAATCCAAAGCAGCTAGTTCCAGGACAGGTTCCAAAGCTACTGAAAAACATTACCTTGAAAAAACTGGAGGGGGGAAAAAAGAGAGCAAGAGGCTAAGTCGAAGGGCCTCAAGGACTACATAAAGAAATTATCAAAACAAAAAACCCCAAGAAGACTAGGGGTACAGGGCTTGTCTACTAGCACAAGACAAATGAAATGTATTAAAAAATGATACAACAGATGGGCCGGGCGGTGGTGGCGCACGCCTTTAATCCCAGCACTCGGGAGGCAGAGGCAGGCGGATCTCTGTGAGTTCGAGACCAGCCTGGTCTACAAGAGCTAGTTCCAGGACAGGCTCCAAAACCACAGAGAAACCCTGTCTCGAAAAACCAAAAAAAAAAAAAAAAAAAAAAAAAAAAAAAAAAATGATACAACAGAAACACTTCACCCTCCATTTGGGACATGTAGTCAAGAGGATCATTCGGTTATCCTTTGCTACATACTGATTGTGAGGCTGGTCTGGGCTGTGGGAACATGTCTCAGAGACAAATCAAACAAACAAACAAAAAAATAAAACAAAATTCAAATTTCAGAGGCAGTTATCTGTGAGTTGAAGGTCAGACTGTTCTTCATTGCCAGTTCCAGACCCTGTCTCAAACCAAACCAAAACCCACAACAAACAAAAACCCAAACAAGCACATCTCAGCTCCAACTGAAAAAGAATCATCTGAGGTTGGCCACTGTGGTACACGATTGTAGTCTCAACCTTGGAAGGCTGTTTAGGAGGTTCGTTTTTTAAATGTGTGTGTTTTGTCTGCACACACGTCTGTACAACACATACCTGCCTAGTGCCCAAGGAATCCAGAAGGGAAAGGTCGGATTCCCTGAACTGGAGTTATAGATGTTTGTGAAACCCTATGAGGACAGGGAGATGTGAATCGAGGCTCTCCCCTCCGTTAGGGAAGAGCAGTCAGTACTCTTGAATAATGAGCTATCCAGCTCCTGGAAGGTCCACTAACTCTAGACTAGCCTGGGCAACAGAGCCAGATCTTCCTTAAAAGTTCTTATGAACACTCGAAAAAGAATGTGAATATGTGAGCGATCTTAGCATCTTGGGACTCACTGGCAATCAGGATGTCTTTGTAGCCCCATGAACAGGATTTACGCATGGGCTACGTATGTACACTGTGGTGGACTGGAGCTCAGGCAGGATTCAGGGGCAGTCTAGGCCGTATGGGAATCCTAGCCTCAAAAACCAATCAAATAAACAATAACCCCAAAGCAAAAGTTCATTTTTTTTTTTTTTGTTTTTTGTTTTTTGTTTTTCGAGACAGGGTTTCTCTGTAGCTTTGGAGCCTGTCCTGGGACTCCCTTTGTAGACCAGGCTGGCCTCGAACTCACAGAGATCCGCCTGCCTCTGCCTCCCGAGTGCTGGGATTACAGGCGTGCGCCACCACCGCCCGGCTAAAAGTTAATTTTTGTTTTGTTTTGCAGTGCTGAGAACAGAAGCCAGACTAAGCCAAGCTAGCGCTCAAGCACTCAAGGACAATTCCTAGGTACAACAGGCTACACAAAACAGGCTCTCTACTCATAGCCCTGGTGGTTAAACAGAACAGTCAAGTGCTCCATCTCCAAGGCCAGGAAGGCTTTCAATCAGCTTCTGCTACTGGGGAAGCAGTCCCTCAAAACCACAGTGAGTGCGGTACATCTCCATCTCATCCACTGTATCATCCATGGCCAACAGTTTGCCTGAGCCTGGAGATGCGGGGGCTCCTTGGGCTTCATCTGGAAACCTCAGATTTCACCAGTGAAGCGACCTTGCTCAGCGCCAGTCTATCCTTTCTCTCCTTCTGCAACACCTGCTCTTCCCACAGCGCCTGGTCCACCTGGTCATCGGTGAGCACGACCGGCTTGAACTTCTCCTCGAACAGCCTCTCGTTGGCCTCAGAGTGCAGCTGGTGGGGCCCGACGATGCGGAGGTGTGCAGGCAGGTGGAGAAACTCGTCGTCGTTGATGTCGCAATCACGCATGCGGTTCTCCAGGACCCACCAACGGCCCACGAAGCCCACGTCGAGGACCCGGCCGGGGAAGTCGATCCAGCGTGGCTGCAGGTAGCGGCAGCGGGCCTGGTAGAGGCTGGCCTGGGCATCGAACGGCGCCTCGTACACCAGCGAGCAGAGCCCCAGGTTCACGTGGCGCAGGCGCCCGCGGCCTCTCAGCCACAGCAGGCGTTGCAAAAACGCTTCCGAGTGGCGATTGCGCGTGGTGGGCGCCAGCAGCAAGAGAGACCCCGACGCATCGAGCAAGGCCTCCTCGAAGGCCGTCTCACTGGGTGCCAGGGCACAGCAGGCCGCGGCGCCGCCCAGCAGCCCCACATACACGGCCGCGCGGCCTGGTCGGGCACGGGCAGCGGCCGCCGCGTCTCCGCACGCCTCGGCGTAATCTCGCAGCAGCCCGCGGGCCCAAGTGCCTGAGGGAAAGAAGCTCTGCAGTGACAGTGATTCAGTCACTCGGGCCACCCACCCTGCCGCCTTCTGCCACTACTCACCCAGTCGCGCCCACATCCCTGGCTTTGCCGCCACCGTCGCGGAACCACTCGCTTCACTGCGCCCACTGGACCAGAATCTCCTCATAGCGGCTGTCGCCATCCTTTTCCTGCAGTCAGTTGGCCAAGTGGAAATGCACAACACCGGAATGTAAAGGGCTGGAAATTGCCTCCTGCGCAAGCGTAAAATACCGGAAGTAGTTTCTCACTGGAAACCTCTAGGAGACGGACTAGCGCCGGATGTTGCCGTTGCGTGGAGAAGGGTGGACTCTGACGGATAGGCTGGCCGCACGCACGCGCACGGAGCACGGGCCACGCCAGCTTAGGTGGATTTAGGTGAGGAGGGCGGGAGTGTGCCTGCAGAGCCCTGGCGTGCAGCTGGTCTCCGTGTTAGACTCCAGGCAGAAGCAGCAGTTCTGAGGAGAGATGTGGGACTGATGCAGTTCTGTCTACAGAGCGCGATGCGGTGACGCCTCTAAAGAATCATGGCAGCGACTGACGAACTGGCCTTCCATGGTGAGTGGGGCCCGGAAGTGACCTGAGCTCCTACTCCTGTCGTAGGCTAGAACCCCAGGATGAACCTGAGGTTCGTCCCGGACTCAATCCCTGCTCCCACTGTGAACTCAGAAGTACATCCGACCCTTCAAGTCTGCCCAGGAACTAAATTGAACCCCAAATGTGACGGAACAGCCTTCCCTATGCGTCAAAACGAAACTCAGTCCTTAGGGGACGGTAGTGAGGCAACCCCAGCCCAGGTTGGTTAGAATGGACCAAAGGAATTTTCAGACTCCAAACACGGGTGCCCAAATTCTCTGTCTGCAGAGTTCGAGGAAGCCACAAATCTTCTGGCAGAGACCCCAAATGCAGCTACCACTAGCCAAAGTGATGCACTGACCTCACGAGAGCACGTGGCTGTGGTTATGGAATCAGGTATTGCCTATGGGGCCGAAGAGATGGAGGAAGAGGGTGACAGGACATCGGTGAGTCTCTTAGGAATCCCATGCCCTGTCTGTCTTTACCATGGCTGAGCAGGCAGGTCCTGAAAGTCTGTGTCTTGTAGCTTCTACAGGAAGAAAAGCCACAGCCGAGATTCTGGACGTTTGACTACTATCAGAGCTTCTTTGATGTGGACACTTCCCAGGTGAAGCCTGGGATATTGGTGGCAAGAACTTGGGAGTTGCTTGGGTTTAGCCACTATATTTGGAGCATTGAATTTGGATGGAATATGTGTGGGGTGTGGCTGGAAGGCAAAAGTGGGGTACAGAGTAGATGGGGGTGGGTGGGTGTGTCTCTTAAAACCAGTGTCTTGGTATGTTTCCCAGTTAGGCCTTGAACAACTAGGCTTAGAGTGCTTCTCTTGTCTCAGGCTCCTGGGTAGCTAGGGCCACAGCAGGCGCCACGAGGCCTGGATGCAAGCCCTGTTAATGAGCTGAAGTTTGGGTCTTGGCCCAAGGCAATGGGGAGTCATGCATGAAAGACTTCTGGAGATGAATGAGTAGAATGAGCAGATATGAACGTGGAACACAGGCCAGCCTCTGATAATAACCCAGGTCTACTGAGAGGGCACATTCTGGAGATGGAGGAGGGAAAACACCCAGAACTTAATGGACTGTCCTTACTGTGGCTGGGAGGAGAGCAATAAGTTACTGTAGTATGTTGAGAGAGGGGCCGAGGAGATTGCTCAGCAGTTTAAGACCACTGACTGCTCTTCCAGAGGACCTGAGTTAAATTTCCAGCACCCACTTGATGGTTCACAACTGTAACTCCAGTTCCAGGGGACCCCCACACCCATGGCAAAACATCAATGCACATAAAATGAAACTTAAAAAATTAAAAGTGGGCTGGAGAGATGGCTCAGAGGTTAAGAGCATTGCCTGCTCTTCCAAAGGTCCTGAGTTCAATTCCCAGCAACCACATGGTGGCTCACAACCATCTGTAATGGGGTCTGGTGCCCTCTTCTGGCCTGCAGGCATACACACAGACAGAATATTGTATGCATAGTAAGTAAATAAATATTTTAAAAAAATTTAAAAAGTAGAGCGAAAGGTGGCAGACCTAAAAGCCCACCCTTAGAGTGTGGTGACATTTCAGCAGAAACTAGAGGCTAAGACCTCAAGCCATAGAGACATTCCATGAATAGCCTGGAGGGGACAGCTGAGCTTGCTCAGGATGTACTGGCAAGACAGTAGAAGTCTGCAGGGGTACTGCCTTTCAGAACGCTAGGATTCTCATTCTGGACCCTGGTTTTGCTCTCCAGGTCTTGGACCGGATCAAAGGCTCGCTGCTGCCCCACCCGGGCCACAACTTTGTGTGGCACCATCTTAGAAATCGGCCTGACCTATATGGTAAATGAGGCTGTATGTTTAACTCAATGGAATATTCACTCGGCAAACGTGGGGCTGTGCCAGGCCCAGAGCAGGACTGTCAGTCATGAAGAATGAAAATTTGTGTTTAGTTGAGGGAGACACCAAGACAGGAAGCAGAAGGTGGTAGGTAGAGCTCAGAGGATGAGGCATCGCTGCCTGGTATAGCAAGTTAGGAAGGCCTCTGAGTAGGGTAGGCAAATGAGTTTTGTTGGCATTGGTGGAGAGAGGCTTAGAGAGGACCTGCAAAGTTTCTAGACCCCCATGGTGAAAACACAACTGAGCTGCAGCCGGGGAGGTAGGGAGTGAGTACACTGGTCCCATATTGTGGTGAGAAGAGATCTTGGTGAAGCATTTTTAAGGTCTCCTCTCACACTGCTGAAATTAAGGGTAGAAGGCAGCAAGAACAGGCAGGGTACAGACATCACAGCAGAGGCTGTGAGCTCAGAGTGGTTGGTTCTAGAGAATGCCCCACAGTGAAGAGAAGTGGGAAAGGCCAGGGTGGCTTTCTACTCAGTCCACCAAGAGCAAGTTGCCATGGGTAGATAGGAAAAGCTGGGCAGGTATGAGGAGCAGGTCAAGGGGCTCAGGACACCCATGTGAAGTTCAAATGTAAGTGTGAAGTTTGGGGCACTGGAGCAACTTGGGAGTGGACAGCTAAAGATGGCATTCATAAAGCTTCAAATCTGGATAAGATCCTGCCTTCAGTGCAAAAGCACCGAGCCTTTTCTACCTGTAAAGAACTTTGTCAGAGAAGAGAAAAAGTCAAGTGCTTGAGGCACTTTCCAGAAAGATAGGATGGGCCCTGAGGCAGGTCCTATCCCCAGTGATCTGGAGAGTCAAATGGGGTCTGGGGTTTTACCACACTTGAAACAGGACATAGCCAGCTACCTTTCCTAGGACTGATGGACCTGGGACTCCATGTCCCCTTTGCAGGACCCTTCTGGATCTGTGCTACCTTGGCTTTTGTCCTGGCAGTTACTGGCAATCTCACTTTGGTGCTTGCACAGAGGCAGGACCCCTCCATCCACTACAGCCCCCAGTTCCACAAGGGTAAGCAGGTGGTTGGGCTCAGCTCCTGGCTGCCAGAGCCCCAGGGCATGCAATGACGGTCCACTTTGCATTCCTAGTGACTGTAGCAGGTGTTACCATCTACTGCTATGCGTGGCTAGTGCCACTGGCACTGTGGGGCTTCCTCCGGTGGCGCCAGGGCACAAGGGAGCACATGGGGTTGTACACCTTCCTGGAGACTGTTTGTGTCTATGGCTACTCACTCTTTGTCTTCATCCCCACAGTGGTGAGTGTGGCTTGGCCCTGGGAACTGGTGGGATCTGCATGGCACACCCTGTATGGTCACCAGCTATACTTGTCACACTAGGTCCTATGGCTTATCCCAGTGGAGTGGCTGCAGTGGCTCTTTGGAGCACTGGCTCTGGCCCTGTCATCTGCTGGGCTGGTGTTCACACTGTGGCCTGTTGTCCGAGAGGATACAAGGCTGGTGGCTACAGCACTGCTGTCTGTTGTAGTGCTGCTTCACGCTCTCTTGGCGCTAGGTTGTAAGGTAGGTCCAGGTGGTCCTCAGCAGGGCTGTGGAGTGGGGCTTGCTGCCACCCAACTACACGTTCACCCTGAGATCTCTCTGCAGCTGTACTTCTTCCAGCCACTGCCTCTGGAACATGTTGTACCAGGACCGCAAGCCACACCTTTATCTCCCAGTGTCCTGCTGTCCACCTCAGCCCGGTCCATGACAACCTTCTAGGAAGGCCAAGCCTGCAGGTGAGGGACCAGTTTCTGTTGTGGCTAAGGGTTCACCTTCTTGCCCCTGGGGCCACTCCTAAAAGTCTCTTCTTTTCCAGGGCAAACCCAAGGGGCTGCTACCTATCTTCCCTGTGAAGACTGGAGGATTCTTGGACCCTGGAGACCACCCTGCTACTTTGCAGGCTTTTCTTACAAAGCGAACACTTTTATTTTCTATGCAAAGGTGATCCAGAGAATTTATATAAAGGTGGGGAGGGGCAGCCGAGCAAGGAGTATTACTGATGGACGGAAGAGCCCGGTTTTCCAGCCTGCCTGTGGGCCCTGTTTCCCTGACAGGTCAGGGATGACACAGGGCAGATCCAGCCATTTCCAGGAGTACCTATGGTAGGCATAGGCCCAGCCTGGGCTCTGGCCACTGAGGTGGGTGGAGACTCTAGGGCAAGGGAGCAGGGGAGAAACTGCCCTTCCTTACTTGTTTCTTTTCTTCTTTTTCTGTCTGGAGGGAGAGGTCCCTTCTAGGCCCCTTTTCAGGGATGCTGTCTTGAGAGGAGGAAGTAGAGCATGAATGTGGAGTGCAACACACAGGCCCATGTTAGCTATCATGGAGAGTATGCCCTCCTTCCTTCTGTGACAGATCCTTGAGGTTTTTGTCTGCCCCAGTGGCCCTGGGTGACTTTCCCTTTGGGCTGCCTGTTCCAGCTTTTGGTAAAGGGGGACCTTCAGGGCTCAGGACAGGACAGTAGCAGGAAGCAGGGGCTAGAGGCCTTTGGACAGCTGGGTGTTTTTGTACATTCAAGTGTGAGGTGAACCCTTTGGTGAGAGGGGGTGATGCCTGCCCTGAAGGCTTGACAGGCCACCCCTCACCTAGAACCTCTGGGCTTACGGACAGGGGCTGCTGGCTGGGCCCGGCCAGCCGGGTTTCTCAGAGGGTCTGTGGGTTGACACTGGTTCTTTTCGTAAAAAAATAAAATTAAAAAAAGCAGCATGTCACGTCCATGGTGACCATGTGGCCTGGTAGTTGAAGAAGAGGTCCAGCTGGCTGTGCTGCTACCCCAGGTGAGGGGCAGGTGCAAGGATGGGTTGGGGGATGGGTTCTGCCAGGTCTTGTAGTGGCAGCTGCTGGCTTCCTCCTGCCTGGT